GGGCTGGCTCCGCCCCAGAGCGACGCGGCCGGAGCTCCGCACGTGGCGCTCCGCCCGCTCAGATGGAGAACCCTCTGGCACCTGCCGGGCGCACACCCCCTCACTGACCCGGGGGCACCCCGCCACAGACAGCCACCCACGCGGACGCCGACAGACACACAGGCACACATTGGGGTTCACACGTACCACACATGGACCCAGGGACGCTTCGCCACAGATGACCACCCACGCAGACATGGCCAGACACACACTGACAAACATTGGCACACACACCAGCATATATGCCGGAGTACACACACAACACTCACTGACTTGGGGACCCTATACCAGACACGCAACCACATGGACACAGATAATCATGCTAAGACAGGCACACATTGACATCCACACACCTACATCAACACACAGACACACACATGCACACTAGCACACACAGACACCTACATGAACACAGACACATCAGTGATACACACTGAGACAGACAGTGACAAACTCAGCGACACCCACGTTAGTCAGAAACACATCCACTGACACACTGACACAGAGACACACACCCACACTCACAATGGTGGACATTTATCTACAGAGGCGGATACATACACATGCACATGCTGACACAAAACACAGACCCAGAAATATGCAAATAGCAAACAAAGATACATCAGACACATGCAAGATATACACAATTTATACCTTGACACGCACAGAGACTAAAGTCAGGCCAACACTCTCAGATGTTCTTGCATATGGGCACTATGTCACACATAGACACTGGTGGAAACATCCTAAGTACACAACCTGAGAGACCCCATGCGTTGATGAGTGCAATCCAGGCTGACCCACAGGGAGACACATACCTCAAACCCCACAGGAACACCTCCTTGGTTAAATAAAACAGGCCTCGAGCTTTTGCCTACAGTCCAGCAGCGCCACTGGAAAGACTGCATTTCTTCTGGTGAGGTGGCCTGCCCATAACTCTCACAGGGTCACTTGTACACATAGCTTCTGTCTTTTCTTACAGTATTTTACCGGCTTTCCCATTACGTTTTGAAGACTCCTAAAAACAAAACTGGAGGTCAAAGGGAACTCTGGGGTTTCAGCGGGGCACTGTGGTACTGGGTTTGGGAAACCAAAGACTTTGACCTGCCCTTCATTATTGAGATAGTGGAGAGTTCACCTGGGGCCAGTTGTCCTTTGAAATCTGGATGTGAGGCTCCAGGGGCTACTAAGTGCCTTGCTGAGGGCCTATGGGACTCAGGTTGAGAGACTGCCCAGGTTTTCAGGGGGTGCCTGGGCAGCTGACCCAGGATGGAGAAATTCACTAAGAAAGCCACTCTTAGGAGCTTAAGAGGGCCCCAGAGGATGGGGTGGGATGCCTAGTGACCAGATAGGCGGACCTAGATTCAATTCCTTGCCTCACATGGGATGGTCATCAGGTTGGCCGACACCTCCCACTAGCGGTCAAAGAGTGAAGTGCAGGCAGTGCCAGTGTTTCTGCCACAGTGGTGGTGTCCAGGCATTCTCTGGGAGAAGGAAAGATTGGAGGTTTGTAGTAGAGTGGGGGGAGAAGAGGAGTAGAGGAGCTGCCTTCCATGGCACGGGGGATTCGTGATCAGAGTCCATTTCAAGGGTCCCCAGGAATCCCATGTCATCTGCCTTCCGAGAAATAAATAACCCCGATGGAAAGAAAGGGCAGTAGAGTGGGGATCCTGCTCAGGGCCCAGAATGAAGATTCACAACTTGAAAATGGATATTGGATCTAGCAAGAGACTGGGCTAGAACTGAGGTTGCTGGAAGAGGGAGTTGGAATCTCTTTTGCTTTATCTGCATCTGGCAGCTGTGGGGAATTCCTGTTCTTCCTAAGTGCCTGTCATATGGACACAGTCCGCAGGAGAGCTGGACTGAGCTTCTAGAATCTCCATGCGTCCTGTATTGAAATGAGGGATCAGAAGTCCATGAGGAGAAACCAGAACTTGAACTCTATGAAGATTCAACCACAAACACATAACTAGTAGGCCTAGGAGACCCTATACAAGGTCGCTATGAGTCGGAATTGACTCGGTGGCACATCACCATCACCATCAGAGGGCTTAGAATAGACCCCCTGATGGCACAATGGTGAGACCTCCTGTAGTTTTACAGGAGAGAGGTCTGACCATCTGCTTCAGTTAGGAAAACACAATGGGGCAGTCCTACTCTATAACACATGGGGTCTCTATGAGTTAGAATGGAATTGACTCGATTGCGCCTGACAACAACAGTGGTCAATGAACAGGCTACGCAGTGCAGGAAACGGTGGTGGGCATCCTCAGTCCGTAGCTCATTCTTGTGGTTCCTTGGGAGACTCCTTTCTGACATTGTTTTCTTTTATTTCTTCCTCCTGCGGCCACTATCCCTACTGCCATTCCCCTTGCCACACTGTGCCCTTTCTGATAGGTGAAACAGGTTTTTAAAATATACACCCATCCTTGTAAAACGTGTTGTTATTATTAAGTGCCATCAAGGCAGTTCTGACTCATAGCGATCCTGTGTAGGGTTTCCGAGGAGCAGTTGGTGAGTTGAATCGCTGACATTGCAGTTCAGACCGATCTATGGTCCAGAGCTTATCCTACAGTACCACACTCTGAGTACATTGTATTGTTGCCTTTTTTTGCCCCCTCCCAGCAGCCTTTTCTTTTGTGCATCTGTTGAATGATAAGGGATCCTGGTGTTGGGCTGCTAACCAGAAGGTTAGTGGTTTGAGCCCACCAGCCCCTCTGTGAGAGAAAGATGAGGCAGTCTGCTTCCACCAAGGTTTACAGTCTCAGGACCCACCTGTATGGCACAGTTAGCTACTCCGTCTTATAGATGACTTTGAGTTAGAACTGACCCAAAGGTAGTACAATTCCTGTTTGGCTTTACTGAACTCTATTCTGTGTACCACAAAGTGCACAGATCATTAGTGTCCAGCTAACTGGGTTTTATGCATTGAACACATACACGTAACCATTTTACTTGGCTCCACAAGCAACAGTCAAGAAATCAGACAATGTATTGCAATGGGCAAAACATGCAATGGGCAAATGTACTACAAAAGACTTAAAACGCTAAAGAAAGATGTCACTTTGAGGACTAAGGTAGTTCTGACCCAAGCCATGGTGTTTTCGGTTGCTTCGTGTGCATGTGAATCAGTGCATTGAACAAAGATTGGATGCATTTCAGTTATGGTATTGTAGAAGAATATTGAAACTGCCTTGGACTGCCAGAAGAATAAACCAATCTGTCTTGGAAGAAGTACAGCCAGAATGCTCCTTAGATGGGAGGATGGTGAGACTTTGTCTCACTTACTTTGAACATGTCATCAAGAGGTACCAGTCCCTGGAGAAGGACATCATGCTTGGTAATGTAGAAGGTCAATGAAAAAGAAGAAGGCCCTCAACAAGATGGACCTGCACCATGGCTGCAACAGTGGGCTGAAACACAGCAGCGTTTTGTTCTGTTGTACATAAGGTTGCTAGGAGTCGGAACATACTTGACAACACCTAACAACAGCAACAGTGATATGTAACTAGCAAACAGAACGAGAAAACAAACATTACAGCACTCCAGAACTCCCCTTCATGTCCTTATACAATCGCTGCCGCTCCCCACCCCAAGTTAAGTAAGTACTACAATCACTTCTAATTTCCCGTTAGCTTCTTTGTGTTGTTATAAATATAACATCAAATTCACCATTTTATCTATTCTTATGGGTACAGTTCAGTGGCATTAAGTACATGCACAATATTGTGTAGTCACTAACCCTATGTATTTCCAGAATATTTTTATCAACCCAAACAAAAATTCTGTACCTATTAAGCAATGACTCATTTCTTGCTACCCCTCCTCTGGTGCCCCAGCCCTTGGTGATCACTGTTCTACTATCTGTCACTATGAATTTGCCTGTTCAATATATTCCATACAAATAGAATAATATAATACATGTCCATTTGTGACTGGCTTCTTTCACTTTTCATAATATTGGGGGTCTTCCTCTTTTTCACTGACTCTCTACGTTACCAAGCATGAAGTTTTTCTCCAGGGACTTGTCCTCCTGATAACATGTCCAAAGTCTCACTATCCTTGCATTTAAGGAGCATTCTGGCTGTACTTCTTCCAACACAAATTTGTTTGGTCTTCTGGTAGTCCACAGTACTTTCAGTATCGATTCTTCTACAGTTTTCTTTATACATTGTCTAATTTTCATATGCATATGAGGTTACTGAAAATACTATGGCTTGGGTCAGGTGCACCTTAGTCTTCAAACTGACATCTTTGCTCTTAAACACTTTAAAGAGGTCTTGTGCGGCAGATTTGCATAATGCATTGTTTGATGTCTTAACTGCTGCTTACATGAGTGTTGATGGTGTATCCAAACAAAATGAAGTCTTTGACATCTTTGATCTTTTCTCCATTGATCATGATGCTGTTTATTGGTCCAATTGTGAGGATTTTTGTTTTTTGAGGGGTAATCCACACTGAAGACTATAGTCTTTGATCTTCACCAGTAACTTAAGTCCTTCTCACAGTTAGGAGGCTGGTGGTGGTGGTGTGCCGTGGAGTCGATTTCGACTCATAGAGACCCTCTAAGGCTGTAAATCTTTAAGGGAGGAGAAAACCTCATTTTTCATTGGTGTAACACTGAAAACCATGCAACAGCTGGTAGTTTCAAACTGCTGACCTGGAGGTTAGCAGCCCGACTCATAACCACTAGAAGTCTCAGTTCTGAGTGCTGGCTCTAAGGGAAGGAAGCCTTTCTTCCTCTGTCAGTTTTGCAGGAAAGTCCTCGTCTCAGCTTTCATTTCTTGTTTTGTTCTTTTGAGATCTCCA